CCTTTAAAATCATTCACATGAATATTTTACGTAAAATTTAATATATTTTATTAATATTTAAATTATAGATTTCTTTTTTATTTTTAATTCAATTTAATTCATTTACTTTTGACAAAAACTTTCTTTTAATTCTTTTCTTTGCTTATCTTAAAATTAAACTTTTTTTTTAAAGATCCTAATTCATTACTTATTATCTTAAATTTTCTTTGATGATCCTCAATTCCTTTCTTCTTGTCTTGAATTTTCTTTGACAATCCTTAATTCTTTTCTCCATTTATCTCAAATTTTAAATTTTTTTTTTTGACGATACCTAATTCCTTTCTGACTTACTAACTATATGTCTTATAATAAAAAAATAAAGAAAGAATTCTGTGAGTAAATCATCACTTGAAACAGCGTAATTACAATCTAAAACTTTGCAGACTGAAAATAAATTCTTTCAAATGTTAACATGTAAGTAATATTTCAGTTTATATATTAATTTCAGTTTATGCATTATTCTTAGGTTTGGTAATATTTTTAATTTTATTTAAAAGTATCAAAATTATCAACTAAAAATTCTACTTTGATGAGCATAACCAATAGTACATAAAAAGAATATATGATCAATCAGTTGAGCTGGTTAAGCTGGTTGAGCTAGCATCTGTAAATGTTACTACTATGAAAAAGACTATTATTGATTCTATTACTTCAAAAAAATGTTCAATACTAATACTAGAATAGTCTATAATAAGCTTTTTAATCTGACTGATAATGACAATTATAATAATAATAATAGGTTTAAAGACTACTACAATAAAAAAGTGAAAGTTACTCTCACTATAGCAATAGTTATGATTCTTTCAATACTCACAGTAATCTTAACGAGTTTAATCATGACATTAATGTTGAAGTCTACAATCCCAAAGTTAATGATTAGCAGGTTAACAATTTGCAGACTAACAAAGACAATATTTATTTAACAAAGAAAGATTTTAATTATGAGATAGAATTAATTAACAGAAAACTTATTTCAGTATTCAAACTTTGTAATTTTATTTCTGAAGTTCAACAAGCTAAAAAAATCTTTAGAAAAACTCATTACATTGGATGAACTCACTGACTCCTTCTGAAATGTGAGTAATTTAGTATATTTAGATTTTATTTTAATTTTCAAAATACTTACAATATTAAATATATAGTGTACTTACAAAAAAGTAACCAAGCAATTACTTTCAATGGTTTTATTTTCATCAACTACCGAATATTATAAAATACTTAAAAAATATTTCATAAAATACGCTGATCATTTTATTAACAGTATTAGAAGAAACTGTTAGGTCTCTTTATTTGAAGAAAAATTACTTCCAGAAGTAAGTGAAAACTTATAATTCAATAATATAGTATTACTAAAAAATGTTTATAATTTTATCTTTATTTTTAGATTAAAACCAAATTTTGAAGCAAGCAAAATGATTTAGCAGCTAATATTCAATATGCAATGTTTACCATATTTAGTGATCAGCATCTAGATTATGTTGATAATACAACATCTTCTATAAAACTTGTAGAGTGGAAGACAAGTGAAAAAACTCATACTGCATATCATATACTTTTCAGTAATTATGAGTTACTTATGAAGATTGGATATACTATATTTAAAGGGTATAAAAAGAAAGAATTACCTACTATGCATTGCACTTATGTTCTTGCAATATATAATATCCTTTTAAATTCGAAAAGCTCTGGAATTAAAGCAATGATAAATCTGTCATAAAATGAGTCAATGCTTTTTTGGCAATTGATTTTGTAGAACTTAACTGAAAATAATTTTTAAATATTAAATTATATTTTGTCTGAATAATAGTGTACATTTAAAAATTATAATCTAGCAACTCCTAAAATTATGGAGAAAATAGTTGATGATGAAAGGAAAGATAAGAATGCGAATAAGAAAAAACAGAATTCTTTACAAGCCTTAAATTTTGGAGGCAATAAAGCCACCATTGAAGAAGAATCAGATGATTATGATAACTTCATAAGTAAATCGTTAACTTATCAGTTTGTCACATTTTGAATTATTTTACTAAAAACAAATATTTTTAGATTACTGACTTGGACAAATCATTTAATTATAATAGGTCATGATGATTTTTAAAGAAATATTTAATATTTAGACATTTTTATTTTCGCTAATACAAAATTTTTATTTCAAATTTATATTTTATTTGCATTATTTGGTAAATTAGTATAGTATTTTAGTTTATTGTACTGTAAAAATAAAGCTTATATATTAATATAATTTAAAATATATAATAATACAAGTTCAAAATATTATTTGTGAAATACTCTGCATATATTTTTCATAAAAATCTTTACAGAAATTTATACCTGAAAATCTACGCAGAAATATATATATTTTTCTTAACTAAGGTCAAAGATCCATGTAAAAAATGGACCTTACAGAACTTCACAGATTTTAATTAAAAAAAATCCTCAATGAATATTAAAATTAAAAGATATTTTTGAAATTGTAAGTGATGTATTTATTACTAATATGTGAACAGATGATTATAGAAAAGTTAGTTATATTTTACTTACAGTTTATTATATTGATGAAAATTGGCAAATTAAAGAACAAATTTTAATAGTATCTAAATTTTCAGATATTAAACATTCAGCAGAACATATTAAAAAAATAATATTAGAAATAATAATCTTATATCAGATATTACAATGAAAAATTATACATTTATTACTGATTTTGATCCTAATTTTATTTTTACATTTAATAAATTAAATCATATACCATGTTTTACACATAGGTAAGAATTTATTTAAAAATATAAATAATTTTTTATATTAATTTTTACTTATTTTATAGAATTAATACAGTTTTAAGAAATTTTTTTAAAGATAAATATTTTGAAAATTTTCCTTTAGTAATAGATATACTTAAAGAATTTAAATCATTAATTATATATTTTAAACATTCTTCCTTAAATTCAAGATTAAAAAAAACTCTTAAAAAAGAAGTAGAAACTCATTAGAATAATAAATTAGAAATGTTAAAGTCAATTTATAATCAATTTGAAGCGATTATAGAACTTCTTAAAGAAAAAAATGAACTTGAATTATTTTAAAGCATTGATATAAATATTATACAAATTTTAGTTAATTTTTTAAAAAAATTTCATGAGACAAGCAATTATTTGAAAGGTTCTAAATATCTGATTTTGTATATGGTAATACTATGATATAAAATTCATATAGATCATTGTGAAGTAAATATATCAGATGATGACATATTGTTCAAATTAAGTCTGTTGTTAAACAAATTATGATAGCTAAATTAAAAATTAAAAATATTCATAAAATTGCAGTTTTTTTAATCCAAGAATAAAACAACTTAAAATTTTAGAATAATTTGATGTTTTATGAGTTATAAATTAAATTAAAAATCAATATATTAAATTATTTTAAAATACAAATGATTCTGATGATTCTATAGACATAATTTAAGAAAGATCATCAAAAAAATCATATAAAAAATTAAATAAGAAAACAGATTTTAGTCAATATTATGATTTAAATGATAATGAGAATGAAGAAAATGAAATTGATCAATATTTGAAATCTAAGGTACCAAAAGACAAAAATTTGGATATTTTACAATGGTGAAAGGATCACAAACATGAATATCTTACTTTAGCAATTTTATATGCTTATTAACTTGTAATTCCAGCTTCAAGAACTTTAAGTAAAAGAAAATTTAGTGTTACAGGTCAAACAATTAATGAATATTATACTAATTTAAATCCTGAAACAGTAGATAGTATTTTAATATTACATAGTGCTCTTTAGTAATATATTTGTTTATATATATTATTATAATAAAAATTTGTTAAAAAATTATAAAAAATATATATATCATTATTTTTATTATTTATTAAATAAAAATAAAATAATTAAATTGCAGCAAAAATACATTTATTTTATAAATTCTTGATAGTTTTTAATAAAAAAAATCAAAGAAATACATTTAAAATATTTCTCATGATTTTTTTTATTTTATAAAATATGGGGGTTTTTTAATTAAACAAAAATATATTAATGTGATATAGAGTTGTTTACTATTTGCTACAATACAGTTAAGTACTATGACTTCAGCAATTTTGGTCAGCAACTAATAGCCAGCATTATAGGGTATGGCTGAGATGCAGTTGCTATACTGTAAATCTAATACAGAAATCTGATATGTATTATTAAATATATATGTTGTAAGTACTAATCCATTTTTATATAAATATTATTGATCACTTAAACTTTTTTTTCTTACTTTTTTTTCACATTTTTATTACAATTTCTTCCATTTTTTCAAAAACTTTATAAAGAAATTATGAACTTTATAAAAATCTCTCAACTTTCAGCACAGGAGAAAATCAATGAATTATAACAAGTATTGCTAGTTTCAAATACTGAAAAAAATACTGCAAAGTGACTTCAAGTCATTGAAAGATTAAATAAAAGTTGTAGTATATCACAAGTTATAGAATTAATTAAACTTACAAATAAACTTGAAGATTATTTTTGTTAATTTATAACTTAATTTAAAAAAGAAGATGGTTCTGATTATAAAGTTGAATCTGTACATAATTGCTATATTGCAATAAATAGGTATCTTAAAAAGCATAGTATTCTTCAACTAATAAAATTTGTGATAGTTATAAGTTTTCTTATATTCTTTATATACTTAATGAAAAAATGAGAATTTTATAAGATAAAAAGTTAGGTGATCCTAAAAATCTGATGGTTTATCTGAGAAAGAAATTAAACAAATACTTGATCATCTATATATAGATATTAATACTAATGAATCACTTACTAGACGAGTCTTTTTTAGCTATACTTACTATATGGTTTACATAGTGTTTATGCATATTAAATTTATAGAAAAGATCTTATACATTATCAAGATGAAGGATTAGGGCTTATATTACATAAAGAAAAAAATAATCAAAATGAAACTTTTTATACAACATATTTCTATACCTTCAGATATATCTAATAATCAATATACACTAGTTAAAGATATTCTTTTATTTTTATCAAAATTACCTAATTCTACTATATTACAAAATTTCTTATTTCATGAAACTTATAAAAATCAAAAAGGTAAATGTTTCAAATATTTTTATATTAATAAATATTAATTAAAATTATTGCTAATTTATTATTTTTCTAAGTTTTATAAAAAGGTCATTAGTTTAAAAATAATCTTATTAGTTATATAAAATTTAGAAAAATGATGAATAATATTACATTAAATATTGGGATTAATCTTAATAATGAGAGATTAATTACAAACCATTCTTGTTATTATGACGGGTAAAATTTTAGATAGATTTAATTAGTAGAATAGGAAGTCACTTTATTGCTATGTAGATCTTTTATAAAGATCATTTTATCTATTTTATTGCCATCGATCAATTATGTAAATCCTTAGATGTCAATTTTATTGCTTTTAATAATCACATAGATCATAGATGTTATTAGTGATAATCTGTTTGCGCAACTAAATGACTGTGCCAACTAACGTCACCAATGATTACCAGGAAAATCATGATCACCGTTTTCACTGATTTTACTACTATCATGATTATCATTATGATATTTATTTTCATTATTATAACGTTTATCATTATTTTATTTATTATCATAGTTATATTTACTTTCATTATTATATTTATTATCTCTATCTTATAATTGTATTTTATATAAATA